GTTTAGATTAACGAATTGTTGCACAACGTAAGGATCTGTTTGGTTTGTAATTGGAATTGAAATTGAAAAGATCTATTCTCATAGTTTATTTGATTCAAGCATAAATTAGAATGAGAATTAAAATCCCGGAATAGAATTTCATTCTCAAGGAATGGAAAGGGAATGGTCATTTTCTTGGAAAAATTCCATTTCAGCAGGACTGAAAATGAGATTTTCATTCCACTCAACCAAACAGTTAAAATTAAAACAAATTATTCTGATTCTGATTCCAAACCCCTATTCCCGAATAAAGTGGTTCCATTGTTGCAAAGTGATCCATTACAATCTATCACCATGACTGATGGGTTATTTTCTTTCATTTACTTAGACTAGATCGGCTTCCGTCAGAGCAAGGCCCGTTCGAACAGCCTTTACAACCTTTCATCGGGAATATCTCCATATTTCTGTACTTTATTTCATGGGGAGATATTCCCAATGCAAGGCTATGATGGCTGTTTGAATGGACTTTGCTTTGACTGAATTCGGTCTCTACTTAGACGTACATCTATGCTTTCGCGCTTCAATCTGATACGAGGGGGCAGCAGTAACCAGGAATGCGGATGTTTGTAGTGGTCTGGGCCTAAAGCCCTTCACATAGGGATTTGCCTCATCGCCTGGGCCTGGCCCACTAGTTTACAAATTACTGCTAGACCTGTTCATGGGCCGAGTAGCCCACCGACGGGCCGGCCCGGCCCCCGGATGGGCTTAAGCATGTATTTTAGCCCGCGGGCTTGACCTCGGGCCTAAAAGCCTAGCCCGAGCCCAGCCTGGCCCGACTTTTGTATAAGTTAAACCCTAACCCTAAATATTAATCCCTCTCTTCTCAACCCCTCTCTTATCACTCATCTCTTTTTCTTAGCTGAACAAACTCCCTTCTCAGTCATAGTCTCACATAGCCAAGCATTCTCAGGAAGACAAAACTGGCGCAACCAGTGAACTCCAGCGGTGACTAGTGAGTCCTCTCTCTCTCTCTCTCATAATCGATCTTAAAAGCTCATTTATCAGATGCGAGTCACGCAAACTCAGGCACCAACTATGAATCCTCTCTCTCTCTCTCTCTCTCTCTTTTCATTGTTCGGTTGTTCCTCTTCTCATTTCTCCTTCTCACTCTCAGAATCTCAGCTTAGTTCATTTATTAGACGTGAACTCAAGCACTGGCGAACACAGGCACCAACAGCGAGTCCATTCTCTTTTCCCTTTTGTTCTATTCCTCTCTTATTGTTTGGTCGGCGGCGAACACAGACACAAGCACCGATCTATCTTTTTGTTAGGTCGGGCTTCGGGCTTTTTATTAAGGCTGGGCTCGGGCTCGGGCCTAACAAAATCTTATTTATGAAGAGTAAAAGCCCGGCCCGACCCATGAACAGGTCTAATTACAGCTGGAAATCTAGAATATGCACCATCTATTTCCAAATTTCTTTTGGTTGGATCTTCTACTTCTACTCCTACTCCAGCTTTCACCTTTTCAGGGCACACGACCCGGTAAAATTTGCAAAATACATAAATATTGGGGTTAATTTCATGAGCCACCAACAAATATTATTGGGTAAATTACAAAGGCCCCTTTACTATGGGTTCAGTAACAAAGGCCTCTATATTTTTTTTAATGAAGACTCCCCTAAACTTTGGCGTTAGACAAAGACTCCCCTCCATTAGTGTTTCATTAGTTAATTTAAAAAAATCTCATATAATTATTTAAAGTTTTTTAAATGTCCAAACTACCTTTTCTACTCTCCATAGTGTTCATACTGCTAATGCCACCAGTTACGAGTTTGATTAGGCTTGATTCGAGTTTGATTTTAATCAAGCTCGAGTTCAACCAATAAAATGTTTGGCTTGAAAGTTTGCAAGCTTGACTCAATTAATATGTATATACATACATAAAAATGTATATTATATATTATAAAACATATCATATATATATTTTATTATAAATAATATTATAAAATATATTTTATATTCTATACATGGAAATATATGCTTATATTGTATATAATATAAGAATATACTATATATTATAAAAAATATCATACATATAAAATCTACAAATATATATTTATTTTTGAGCTTTCGAGTTGAATTTGAACTCATTGAATATTTAATCAAATTGAGCTCGAGCCAAAAAAATATAGTTTGAGTTGAATTCAAACCTAGTAGTATTTTAGTCAAGCTGAGCCAAGACATGCCAAAATTCAACTCGATTGAAGCACTAACTTGGGTTATGGAATTAAAGAATATAGACGAAAAATATGTTCCATTTCTGATTTCTGATCCTTCTAGCTTTTGTTTCGATCTTTTCTTGTTTCATTTTGGTCATTTTTTTCTTTTGTTTTTTTTTTTTTCAATTATGTAGTTCTAGAATTGCAAAAAAAAGGAAAATCTTCTGAAGTTATGTGCTTGCACCACCTATTCTGCAGTTCTGGTCAATACTTATTGTGAAGAGTTTTGATGAGGGGTGATTTGGCTCGACCTATTCATGCACGGACACGTGGAAGCAACCCGTTGATTGGACATTAACTTGGCATTCCCCGCCACCTTAGCGAGCTAGGTCACCTTGGGTACCTCGGGCACCTCGGCTAGGACCGAGGTCCAAGTAGCTCGTGATGGCCCGATTTGCCAAGGTGACACGTAGCCAACTTCTAGTAGCTAGCTAGCTGTCTCCGACCTCTTTGGGATCATGATGCACGTCTGCAAGCCTTATCCTTATCCTGCCCGGACCGGACGAACTTGATAAGCCTTATTGGCTAGCACAAAATCCACCTCTTGGCGTGGAACAGACTCCTAACAGCATGGGCCGAAGATCTCAGGGGTGTTTCGTGAAACCCACAACAGTTCATCTATATAAGGGCACCAACCCCAATGTCTTAAGCTATGCGTGATTTACTGCTCACTAGCCTACTAACATACAAGCATTTAGCTCGCTCAATAAAGTATTAACTTAAGCATTGGAGTACCCACATTGGATAAGCCACCCTGGGTCCTCCGAGCCTTCCTCTTTTGCAATTCGACCGGCTAACAAAACAGATCGACATCCGAATTGCCCTCCAACTAAGAATATTTAGATCGCGCACCATAAAGTATTAATGAGAATATGATGATAAACAAAAAGAATCTTTTGACTTTCTTAACTTGCAGTTTTGACCAATCGTAGTCTAGTTTGTTTCGAACATGTCCACGTATGGCTTGGTCCTAGCATATGGGTGTTCTGCAGGTCTTACTTTCCTCCAACGACTAAAAGCAGCCTATTCCTTCGGCAAGATTCAATTAACAGTGGGAAAAAAAAAGACTGTAAGGTCGTGATTAAAAGTATCATATTCCTTGGGTAAGAACCGACAGACTTGATTTAAGATGGGATCTTGGTCGTAGGTAGGCTCCATTTTCTAGGAGAAATGCTCCATTGACATCTGCATTTGAATAATTTTTCTTCAATTGAAATTGGGCTAGCAGGGAGTTTGTCTTGGGGAGGCATAAATTCAGAAAGAAAAAAAAAATTGGAAGATTGATTGTTTCTTTTATCTGATTGCAGCACTACGTTTCCGCCATTAAAACTCCGTAAGAAATATTCATCAGAGATGGGAAGAATTTTATTTAGTAGGGGGATTTTGAAAAATATACACAGTGGACATCTGGCAAAGAGCTGATGAAGGGTATTTATTTTTCTTATTTAATAAATATTAATAATAAAACCATACAATTTTAATTCAGAGCACGAAACGATAAATTCGATAATTGCAATGGTGAATCCTCCCCTTCAAATCGCTCACATTTGATTTCAGATTTCTTTCCTTTTTCTCAGTTCTTTTGTTTATTTATTTATTTTATTTTAACGCTTGCTAAGCTTGGCTACTTGCTTTCTCAGCAACGTTCGTTCGGCTTGGACTTTGGACTAAAAGAATGACAAGAAGAAGGAAATAGAGTAAGGGCCCGTTTGGTAAATTTTTTTGATAAAATTTTTTCGTAGCTTTGACAGTCAATAGATGCATTGAGCTTTTGACATAAGATCTGAACAGTTCAAAGACCGTTTGATAGATGCACATCTTTCCGTGTGTCATTTCAAGTCTTTTTGCGTGAGATTAAAATGCAGAAGATACAGATTCCTGAAATTAGCCTAAAATAGGCTTCTCACTTATTTTTGGTGTCCCGTTTTTTGGTGGCGAGATCTTCTGTGTGTCAAACGGGAATAGACCGATTTTCAGTCTTCCCAACTTGTAAGCAACCAAAAATCCACAGGGAAAGACGTGTCAAATGAAGCTTAAATTTAGTGAGGTATTTTAATAATTTAATGCCTTCCGTTATTTGATTTAACGGCCAAAGAGCATAAAAGTTTAGGGATCTTTGTCACTGACGAATCTTTGTAATTTACCAAATGTAACTTTTAGTTCGATTTTCGGATATTCCGATTCTTTTTTTTCTTCTGACTAGCTGGGATATTTCTTATATTCTAAGGAGACAGCCATCATTTAAGCGAGAGCAAAGCAAATTCTCGTAATTTTATGTTTTTCTCAAGAACAAGGTTTGGTTGAACCATAAGATTCCACGGCAGTAATAAAATTTAGAGATTTTTACAGTTAAATCCACCCTTAGGGTGGAGCTGAGATTTTTAAGGGTGAACTGAATCATGTCTGTAAATTGATACTAAATTTACGGACATAATGCGGTTAACAAAAAGGGCTACTAATAGATCAGGAGTGTATTGCTTATCTGTATATTCCCAATTCATGGGGATAGTGTATTGTGGATAGGCGCGAGGAGAGTTCTGACTTTTCTTAGGTGAGATCGGCTTCAGTGCTCATACCGTTCGCACTGCCTTTAACATTCGTGCATTGTGAATATTTCCGTACTTGTATGTTTGTTTGATGACTAGATATTCTCAATGTAAGGTTGAAGGGACTGTGCGGACGGTGTGTGCACTGTCTTTTGAGCACTGAAGCGATTTCCCCTTAGGCCTTAACCGTCTCTTCAAGACTTCAAGCATTCAACTTGAACCCCGACATAAACCCTTATCAGTTATCGGCAAGTTGGAGTGCTCTCATCAGCTTCCATCCCTCACACTGAAGAGTGTCGATACCTCCATCAATGGCGACTTCCTTTCCTTCCATCGTAAGAACTTTTATTTATATACATATATTTTTCCATTTCTTCGCAATTCCTCTTTCAGCATGTCTTTACGTAGATGACAATTGGGGTTAATTTGCTCGCGCAGGCGAACATAGGCACTAGGGTTTCAGGCCCAAGAACCATTTCACAGTGCAAGGTCATCAGCCCTTCTTGTAATACCCTTAGACTTCAAAAATGTACTTCGCCGTCCGATATCTCGTCGCTGTCGACCTTCTTATCCGGTTCGCTTCTTTGTCCCCCTCTCAGATCTTCTTCATTTCCTTCTTCTCAAAGGAGAAATGCTTTCTTTAGCTCCACTCGAGCCTCAGCCCAGGTCAGTGAGTTATTCGTCTTTCAAACTATCATGATTTAGTTAATTATATGAAGTACTAATTAATCTAGTATTTATTTTTGTTATTTTGCTTAATTTTCTCCATATCTCTTGTTCATTAGGAAATGCTCTGATTATTATAGTTCTTTAAGGTTAAGCACTAGTAGCTTAATATGCTTGTTTTTCTTCCAGTGCTCCATTTATGCATCCACATTTGAGTTATTGAGTTGCATTGTTTGGGGCTGCATATGCGGAATTATACTTGTAATTGATGCAATTACAGATACTGTATTGATGGTTTCTCAAAAGCTTAGATTTGTTTGGTCATCTGATAAGCAGTTATTAGTGGTAAATGCAGTAGTCTGCATGTTTGTGGGTTTTGAATTTCTGACTTATATGCTTTTCTATGTGTTTAATGGTGTTGCAGGAAGCTCCATTGCAATCTAAAGTCACCAACAAAGTTTATTTTGATATAAGCATTGGGAATCCTGTCGGAAAGCTAGCTGGGAGGATAGTAATAGGTTTGTTTGGTGATGATGTGCCTCAAACAGCAGAGAACTTTCGTGCACTATGCACAGGTTTTGTTATTGAACTTCTTTATTCATACTTATATAGAACATAATTTTTGTTTTGTTTAATTCAAAGAGTTCTTCAAGACACTGTGGTTTTGATTTTGATTGCACTTGATATTACACAGGAGAGAAGGGCTTTGGGTATAAAGGTTCCACTTTCCATCGTGTCATCAAGGATTTCATGATTCAAGGAGGAGACTTCGATAAAGGAAATGTATATGCTCTTTTCAAGTTTCTTATTTTTACAAGTTATTTTTCTTATGCAAGACTATATAAAAAGGAAAAAGAATGGCCAGAAAAAATTAAATAAATGGAAGCATGAAGATGGACAAAAGGAATATAACAATATAGTTAATTGGAAACATTTGTATTTGTACTTGACCTCAGGCCCAAGCCCAAGGTCAAGCCCGAACTGTCCACCTGAGCCTGGCCTGCACTAAAATTTGGTGCACTTGGGTTGTGCTCGGGCTATATGCTTGTATGTGTGCAAATATGTGTCTCTATATGCATTTATACATGTATATAATTGGGCTAGACTCAGGTTGGGATAAAGTTGGGCTGGGTTCAGGCTACCTAAGGGATAGGACCAAGCCCAGCCTGAAAAATTGGAAAACCCGAACTTTTGGGCCAAGCCCAACTTGAGGACTGAAAATCCAAGTCCAGCCCATGTAAAATTGTGGGCTGGGTTGGTTTGGGCTTGCCCAAGTTGCAACCCTAATTAAGGGACCCAAAGATTACTTTGTTTTGAAGAGGCTGCGCACATATTTCTAGTTCATTTTCATGAGGGAAGAAGCCATGACAATGCCAGTTTTTAAAGCCAATTTATCATGCTTCTGCTGCATCAAGTATTCTGTAGTGACACTTTGGGGAAGAAGAATAGAATTTCCATATGAATTGTTTGGTTGGATTCTTATTTCAGTTTGAATACTTATTTTGACATGTATAAGGAAATTGTGGAACTTCATCTCTCTTTGTATTTTTCAATTAAAATTTCAGCATTTTAAACTCAAAGGATATGATTCATCACCATTGTTTAACACTGACTATCAAAAGAAGAAAATGGAGTTACCAAACTTGTGAGCTTTGTTTCATTAAGATGCATGCATCAGAAGCTGTATATAAAATCTTTCATTGGATTTGAACAATTTGTCAGTTGTCACTTCACAATTACTGTAGAATACAGTCTTTTCCTTTTATTTTTCATTAACTTGCATGCATGGAGCCACACACACATCTAGCTTAACTCTACAATAGTGTTTGAGGAAGGACACCTACTGAGTTTTTAAATTTCATGCAGACTTCAAAAATTTGATATTTTGTTTCAGCTTCAGAGGTTACCTGAACAAAAAGTGATTGAGACTTGAGAGTGAACAAAATAGAACTGGTGAATTCTGTAATTGATCAAAAAAAAAAAAACTGGTGAAGATAATATATGTTATTACTTTATACAATAATGCACACATATAATATAGTATACTCCATATAATAATATAATATATACATATATTGCGGGCCTGGTTGGGCCAGGCTAGAAATGATCTCCCTTAACTAGTGGTAAACTATTGTATTTTTCTGATAATTGTGATAAACTATTGTATTAAGTACATTGTAGAGATATGGTCCAACTTATTGATAAAAAAAAAAAAGATATGGTCCAACTATTGGGTCAACCTAATGATTCATGGCATCATATATATAAAATATAAGATATTATGTATGTCGTATTATATGTGTAAGTTGTTAGATGTTTTAAAATGCAAATGTGTGATGTGAGGCGTTCCACTACCTGGAGGCATGAGTCATAGTTCAGAATGTGACAGGTGTAAGCCTCCTTAACTAGTAGTAAACTACTGTATGAAGTATATACATTGTAGATATATGGTTTGACAATTGGGTCAACCTAGTGACTTGTGACATCATATATAAAAAATATAAAATATTATGTATGTTGTATTATATGTGTAAGTTGTTAGGTGTTTTAAAATGCAGAGGTGTGATGCGAGGCATTCCACTACTTGGAGGCATGAGGCATAGTTTTGAATGTAAGAGGTGTAAGCCTCCTTAAGAGGAGGGGGATGAGGAGGAAGGAGGCATAAGCTTCCTTTCTGTCTTTTTGTATGAGTCGTGCATGAGGCATACTTCTCTAGCACACCTCATGCAAAAGTTGTATGAAGCATATGCCTCTTGCACCTGAGGTGTACGCCTCAGAGGCATTAATGCCTCTGGCATATGCCTCCCACACCTTTTAAACCACTGGTTTTAATTCAAGTGACTAGAGTTCAAGTTTTTTAAATAACATTTTGTCAAAAATATATATACTATATTCATATTTAATCATATTGATCAAAAAATATATATTCATATTTAATCAATATAGATGAAAAACCAAAACTAACGCAAGTGGCATGATGGATCAATGGTAATATGCTATTTTTCATAAAGTAGAGGTCACATGTTCAAATTTTACCATTGTCATTTTATGAGTTGTATTAAAATAGTGACCCAGGTGGGTCGTTGAAAAGTGGTTGGGTTGTTCAAATCCAAATGGTTTTCTACAGTTCTCATGGGTTTCTAATTGATCAGCCTATTTTTTATTTAAAAACTGATGATCTAAGAAACCAGAATTGCAACCAGTTCCCGGTTTTCAAAGTTTTACCTTGTAGTTTGGTTTGAGTTGATAAACATTGATAAGAGGCATTGTACTTCCATTTCCATTTTAGTGAATGAAATATTGAAGTACTACTCTGCAACTTTTGCTGTAAAAAGGGATTCTTTGCCTCTGATGGTGGGAGTCCATTGTCCCCATCCTAATATTGGTGAGACTCCAATGACTTCAGTTTATTTTAAATTATTTTGGTCTATTTCTTTCAGTTTATTTATTCTTTTTTGGCTTAATAGAATTCCATTCTTTACTGCTGCAAAATAAATATATTTTAGTGAGACTCCAATGTCAATGTGGGTTGGGTAATTACTAATTAGACTTATTTATAAAAAAAAAATACTAATTAGACTCTCTCTCTCTCTCTCTCTCCCTCACCCCTTTTCTATGTAATACCATCACTGGAGCATCTTTCAAGCTCTTTTCAGTGTCAACAACATGTGACTCGGATTCTGCACCTGCACTATGCTCTTTCTATCCATACGACAGCTTTTCATGTGAATTTTAATGTAAGATACCATGGTACCCAGATACCTGTACAAGGTGTGGTATCATGTCAGATACCTTCAATTCAAGGTTTAAAATATTGGTGTTAGTGAAATATCAGTCATCCAAATATAGGAAACATGTTATCCTTATCCTTAAGTTTTCTGACAATATGTAAACAGTAAGGGTAGAGTTAGTCAATTTCCTAAACCATAGGGGTACTTTAAGAAATTTGCCCATATATATATGTATGTATATATAAACGTGTTGGAAATGTTATATGGAAATATTTGAAAAATTATAGGCATAGTAGAAAAATTGTGAAATGTGGAAATATACACTTGTATTTTATGAAATGATAAAAGAAGCATAGATACGGTTATTATCTTATTCCAATAATCCAATACATATAGTTAGGACAAGGCTTTGATGATGATCTGGCTCCAAACCATCAAATAAAGTGAAGAAACTTAGGTTGATATACAAAGCTGTATGCTTTGGAGTTGTCTTGTACACTTTTTTTTTATTGTAACTTGTCTTGTAAACTCTAAGAATTAAAACTACATAGTAGAGTAAGTTTAGGCAAAATTAATGATTCTAATACATCAACTAAATGATTTATTATACAATAAAAATAATATTTAATGTCTAATCCAAAAATAATGTTTCTGCTCCATAGGTGGGCATCTCATCTCCATTAGGTGGGCAATAATGTTCCCGCTCCATATCTGCAATACTATTGTCAACTCATCATGTTATAATACCATCTCTTGTATTCTCCATATCTGCAATGCTATTGTGGATTCCTTTAACACTGCTTGTTGTGGTACCCATGGAAATATTAGGAACTATGTAAACATTTTATTCATGCTTCATTTTTTAGCGAGTTCCCTTTCCAATACCATATCCCATGATCCCATCGTGTCCTTGCTGCATCTCGGTAACTTTGGGTCATATTTTGCTTTTTGAATAGGATTCCTGTGTTCTGTGTATAACAGATATTGTTAATGAACACTATGTTAGAGTTGAAATCAAGTAAAACCAATGTACCAGTGAACAGCCAAAGTATTTGTTCTAAACCCCCCTTCTGGCTCCTTGGCATGTGTGCACCTGCTTCAAGAACACCTTTTGTATTGATTGAACCAACCACCCAAGTTCTAGTCAGTGGAACTAATGAACCAGTAAAACTGGTTTCATGCATGGAGCACAGGGGTAGTAGGGCCCTTTGCCTCTTTTTCTTTGTTATAACAGGTTATCCATGTCTGGGTTGTGCCATTAAATCTATCATCTCTTGTGCTAATATCTTTGTGAATAGTATGCAAAGTTGTCAATGCATTTAATTAGTAATTTGATTCTTCAGAATTGTAAACATGATAACTTTTTCCACTGGTCGTTTGTCTTGTGAGATAGTTTTTGCCTCGATAGTTTATTGAGGAATTCCTGTTAAAAATTTAAGCTTTATCTGCCTTATGTGGTATTCATTTTTAATAATGGTACAAATGCCTACAGCTTCAGCTATCCGGTATATGATTTATCTGTTTCTTGATCCTTGGGGAATTACTATTGATTGCAGGGTACTGGCGGAAAAAGTATATATGGTCGTACATTTAAAGATGAGAACTTCAAGTGTAAGTTGATCAATGATGCTGCTATCTGCATATAAACAAATAAGCATGATATGTGGTGCAAGTGCAACTGGGTGGGACCTGCCTAATTTCCTAGCTCAAAAATAAATTATTTCATCTTATCACAATTATCCTATCCTATTTATTGTGTGCATGATCTGTGGTTATTCTAGATCTAGATGGAACCAATTGTCCAAGTGTTTGCCATATTTTCTGCTTTAAATTCTTTTATATGAAGTATGAATTTTTGAGGTTGTTGCAGTGTCACATATTGGACCAGGAGTGGTTAGCATGGCAAATGCAGGCCCCAACACCAATGGAAGCCAATTTTTCATTTGCACTGTCAAGGTAATTAATTCATCACAAAATCAATTTCAGTTGCAGGTGAAACCTGTGGACTGGAGTGGAGGTTTGAGAAGATATGGATATTGATAGATGTTTGTAATTGGATGTAATACAGACACCATGGCTGGATCAGAGGCATGTGGTGTTTGGCCAGGTTTTAGAAGGCATGGACGTGGTCAAGTTGATTGAATCTCAAGAGACTGACCGGGGGGACAGACCAAAAAAGAAAGTGGCAATTAGTGACTGTGGTGAACTTCCAATGGTGTAAGAAGTATCAAATCTTTACTTAATTACTCGACCTTTTCTGCCTCAAAACTGTTTTTTCCCTCACTCATTGTAGAGGAATATTTTGTGGACCAGCTGACCAGGTGGTCTGTCAGCCAGTTTTACACATGGTTGAGATCGAATGGTTGGATCTTGTTAAAAAGTTTTACTGGAAATAATGAAGATTGTAATCTTTTGGACATCAAATTACAGATTACAGGAAAACAACTTGAAAATCATTACTTGCGTTTCAATTATTTGATGAGAAATGATATGTTATGAACTATGATCAATTTAGGTCATAATATAGAATGCCTTTATCAAGTGAATTAAGATATTGGAACTGAAATTCCAGGGCTTCTTAAGTCTCAGCTGGTAATAAAATCAGGTGAAAGATTGTAGGGAAAAGTCTCCAGGTAGTATCTTCTGGTCGTGTAGGGAAAAGTCTCCAGCCAGTTTTACACATGGTTGAGATCGAATGGTTGGATCTTGTTAAAAAGTTTTACTGGAAATAATGAAGATTGTAATCTTTTGGACATCAAATTACAGATTACAGGAAAACAACTTGAAAATCATTACCTGCGTTTCAATTATTTGATGAGAAATGATATGTTATGAACTATGATCAATTTAGGTCATAATATAGAATGTCTTTATCAAGTGGATTAAGATATTGGAACTGAAATTCCAGGGCTTCTTAAGTCTCAGCTGGTAATAAAATCAGGTGAAAGATTGTAGGGAAAAGTCTCCAGGTAGTATCTTCTGGTCGTGATAGCAGGGTTTATATGATGATGATAATCAAGTTCGAATTTGAATGAAGTTATTTTTAGTTTATTTTTATTATAAAATATGATATTTAAGTGATTTTTATTAATAAAATATAAAAGGTTGGCCACTTTTAGTTTAGTTTATTAATGATGTGTAGTATCCGAATTTATAGCACTGGTCCAATCATATAAATAGGCCCATGTCTAAATACACGGAATTTTGTTATTAAATATCATCATTTTCATTTAAGCACTTGACCCAGTTAAGTGTTAACGGTGGTAGGCTGGTAGCGTCAACATTCTTTTATTCCCTGTTTTCATTTCATTTTTCTTTGAGAGAGAGAGAGAGATAAATTATATAAAAGAAATTTACATTCGGTAGAAAGTTGTGATTACTACGCGTAGCATCTTTAGAGACAAAATAATCATGATCACTCGTGAGTTGAATTCTATGAAGATGGCCGTATCTGTTCAAGCTATTGAACTATAAAGCTCATCTCTGAATAAATAAATTAAATCCTCAGTGTTAGAGCACCAAATACCCTTTACTTGGTATTTCCCTACAAAATGACACTAGCATCTCTGAAAGTTAGATCAACAGTATTCTCAGCAGGAGTGCCGGAATGTACTTACTTGGAATGGCGTCTTTGTTAGAACCTCAAAGAATCAATGCTGATGGTGGATCATTGAGCCCTTGCAGTTGTTTCTGGCCACCATGCTTCCATCCTTCCAAACTCGTAGCTGGATTCTTGCCATATCTTATTGACACCGCCACCTGTTGAATATCTCTTGAATATCTCTGTTGTCGTTATTGTGAGAGTTGGTTTGTTTCCCGTTATCATTGACAGGAATGGCAATAGGGTAGGTTTGGAGCGGGCCAGCAGGGATTACATTCCCCATCCCTGACCCCGATTTCCAAATCATCCCCCATCCCCATCCCCTTTCCCCGTTGGGGAAAGAAATACTCCTCCATCCCTGACCCCGATGGAGTTGAGTTCCTTGTTGGAGACCCAGATCCTGGGTTGGTCTTGGTTCATGAACCTTGTCAATCTGTCATTGATATTATTTTGGATTTGAAACAATAGAGGATCAAGGAATCATTTACAAAAAGAATTAATGACTAATTTGTGTGTGATTTTGTTCCTTTTTGTCCTCTGCTTGAAGAAGCTGAACTAAATGACTTATTATTTTCATTTTTTAAGTCTGTTTTGATTAATTTGTGACTTAAATCAACACCAATCAGGGAGATGAGATGACTGGGTCTTGCTCGACCATGGAGAAATTTTGGGATAATCATAACCAAAACCAGAAGAAACTTTTCGTAGTTCTATCTCTTTGAAATACACTAATCAAGAAATCAGAAATCAAGCTGTACTAACCAAAATGAAATCTCCATGGAACTTGGAAGTAGATTTCTGTTTGATGAGACAAAGTTGTGAGTTGTTTGTGTGTGTGTGTGAGAGAGAGAGAGAGAGGACTGTTGCCTCACCTGAAATCTGGAACTGGTCCAACTGGAAGTAACAAAGACGAAGAAGAAGAGTAGAAGAGAAGTAGGGTTTCAGTTTCAGCCGCCAGGTTCTGTTCTCTGTTTTGTCGAGTCTCGTGAGTTTTTGAGTAATTGAGTTTTTGTTATTTGCTAATTTGTTTAGGTGTAAGGTGTTTAGTGAATTTAACTATTTAAGTACTTAATTAGTGTTTTGTTAATTGCATTTCCCATCCCCGTCTCTGAACCCGATCGGGGATTTAGTTTTAGTCACATCCCCAACCCCAACCCAGCCAAAGCACTCCCCATACCCGATGCCGACGGGTCAGGGAGCTCGGATACCCGTCGGGGACGGGGAAAATTGCCATCCCTACTTGATGATAACCTCTTTGAGATCGCCCAAAGAGTTAGATTTGGATATTTGGTTGTTGATATAGAAGAGGATAGATTGTTCTTCATGATTTAGTTCTTGTCCACTGGCCGGGATTTTGCTAATGTGCCTAGAGGAACCATGTGATTTAAAGGACCTTGCAAAAGATTCCATTGTTGGATTTTAATCTCATAAGAGATTAAATCCAATGGGTTTGATTGGTCAATTACATGAGAAATTGCACCTGCACACTTATTTGGAAAATTAGTTTTTCTCTTACAAAACCCAGTTTTGAACTTGTCCCACATTGGAAAATTATAAGTTTTGTTTTTAGTATTTTAATAGGAGCTGATTTACACTCCTTAGAAATAGTAGAGGAGAGTATGGAGGTTTGATATCGCGCAACACGCACGCGCACACGTGCATGCAGCATAATGAAGCGCTTTAGAGGCGCACTTAGCTCGCACTCGCGTGGCTCGCTAAGGGTGGCTTTGGTTTTGGTGCGATGACCATTGATCACCGTTGATGAGATCAACGGTCATAGTTCGATCAAGTGTGATCAAGAGGCACAATTCAAAGTTAACAGTCATTAACTGTTAATTACCTTTTAAATAGTCACAATGTTTGAAATCGTGACTATTCAAGGTGCCTTCTCTAAACCAGCACCTACCTTTTCTTCATACATTTTCATAAACTATTTAAGGAGCATGAATCAGATTTGTCAAAACACATTTTCGAAATCCACTTTTTCTCTCTCTCTCTCTCAATCCGGTTTGATACAGTCTCACAAAAGGTTTCTTCGGAAACTCTTCAACTTTGTTGGTTGTAGATTCTCGCCCAAGGCTCTGTTGTATTATGGGAACGGATTTGCCTGTAACCCAACAACAAACTAGTGGGGGAAAATAACATTTTAAAGATAGTGTCTTCAGACGCACCTAAGAGCTTCTCCTCCAAAGTTTCAGTGACCCCATTTTCCAACATGAAATGATGAAAATAGAAGTTGGATGGTGTGTTTACACTATACAAAATTCTTGTGTTGGAGCCTATCTATGCTTGACATCTCTGCCATGATTTCTCTCAACCCTTGCTTGGTTAATTATTCCTACGGGTCGTGCCCGTGAATGAACCAAAGCGACCACCTCACTTGAAACAAATTCATGGAGGCAATACCCATGTTTTCCTTTTGAGTTGAAGGATTATTTGAAATTGTTAGATGATTCAAAGTAACAACTAGTGCACGTGTTAAGAAAGAAACCAACAAAGAAATCATAGAAATGTTAGGTTCACTCTCTTATTTTGTTGGGGTCCATATTTGAATCAAACTTATAGTCGGAGTTGACAGTGTGATTAGAGTTAGTGGTGGACGATGAACAGTCTTGTGAAAGAAGATGATGAACAGTGTTTTTAAGGGTAATTTTGGGATTTTGAAATGTTTCAAATGCATGTGACATCACGTGATACAGATAATTAATGGACTACTAACATTAGTGAATAAACTAGCACATTTTAGAAGTTCAGGTACTGGATTGACACATTTTGAAGTTTGGGGACCAAAGTGAGAGTCGGCCCAAATAAGTTCTCTCATTTTTTATATTTTAATCTTAAAAAAGTATAATTTACTTATTAGATGGATAGATAATTTGATTTTAAAATCAGAAAAAGCATAGCCACAGAAAGTAACTTTTGTTTTTTTTTTGTTTTTCTAAATTTCAAGGTAATACATGGTTATGGTAGTGCTATACCTCTAGAATGCTTCTACTATGTCTAATTCCTATATCAACTCTTCCAAACCATAGATAATTTCTAATAGGAGTCCTTTTGTGTCTTTAGGATTGGGTCCCAGTTTATACTAGACACTAAAAACATAAAACCTTTCAATTTAGTCAAGGTTCAAATTATTGATACACCGTAATGCATCGGAAGGGGTGTATTGGCACATTGAACCATGCTGTCGTTTTTTTAAGATGGGGTGGAAACAATGTTACTTAACATTTAAAACAAAGATTAAAAAAGGATAAATTATAAAGACACCCCCTCTCTTATGGGTAGTGACAAAGATCCCTGTACTTCAATTTGTGAAAATGACCTCCCTGAACTTTAGCTGTAAGACAAAGACCCCCTCCGTTAGCGCTCCATCAGTTAACTTTGAAAAATTATCATTCAACTATTTAAACTTTTTTAAATGCCCAAATTACCCTTTTTCTAATTTATCTTATCCTTTTTCTTTAATTTATGAAATTATCTTACTTTGTTTTTTACACTTTGTATTGCTCCAGCTTCTAATGGGGAAGATTCATTTACAGAAAGAGAGAAAAGAGATCAACAATATGAAGCCAGAAAATTAGAAAATAGAAAAAGTTTAGTAGGGTATTTTGGTCATTTGACTTAATGTTCGAGGGGGTATCACTAGGCATCTTTGTCGCAAATTGAATTATAGGGGGGTCTTTGCCACTAACCCCATAGTACACGGGGTCATTGTAATTTACCCTAAATTTTGATCATTGAATGTAAAGCATGAAATTGATAGATCAAAGAGAAGGTCATGTAAATCCCATAATTAGCCATTAAAACAATAGATGGGTTTTCTCTTGTTGTTTTACTCGCATTTCTCTACGATGT